GTGATCCGGTCAGTTCGCCACTGATTTCCGAGGACTCGACGGCGTGGTCAAGACTTGAGGAGCTTGACCCGCTCACGAGAGAGGACTTCGCTTGGATGCCTCTACCCTCGACCGGAACCTTGCCAAGGCCGCATTGCAACGCCTTGATGGCAACTCTACGCTCCTATTTGCACGCTACAGTACCAGCTCCGTTGACGGACGACGGAGTAGCGGTTGTCGATCTCCGCTCCTATCTTGCGAAGATTGACCGCGAGTACGTCACCCAAAGGTACGCCGAAACCGATGCACCTTTGCTCTATATCCGCATTCAAATCGGAAAGGCAACCTATAGTGCCTTGATTGATTGCGGAGCGTCTCACAACTTTATGAGCCAAGCCTTTATGGCCCGCGCAGGTCTTGGCCCGCGCAGGTCTTGGCCCACGCGTTCGAAGGAAGACGCAACCTACTCAAGTTACACTCGCAGACGGCCGCACGCAAAAGTCAATTGACCGATGCGTTGACGGCGTTCCAGTCTACTTTGCGCCCCTTGCGTGTGAGCCGGTGTCTTTTGACATCCTCGACACCAAGTTCGACATGATTCTAGGCATGTCTTGGTTGCGTAGCGCCGATCATCCGGTGAACTTCCACGACCGGACCGTTCACATCCGTGATCGGAACGGAGTGTTAATCCCATGTACGGTCGCAACCCCTCACACTTCGATTGCTTGTCACGTGGTTTCCGTTGCGAGAATTCACGACGCGATTGCTCGGAATGACGTCGAGGAGATGGGCCTTGTATTCTTGCATGCTCTCCCCTCGCCGGACGGACCAGCCGCGTCACCGCCGGACCCACGCATCACTCACCTCTTGGACGAGTATGGAGATGTCTTCGAGGCACCCACCGGAACGGTTCCGGATCGGCCCACACGGCACGGGATCACTCTCGAGGCGGGCACCGTCCCTCCGCGTGGATGTATCTACCGCATGAGAGAAGAGGAACTCGAGGTGCTTCGCGCACAACTCGATGACCTTCTCGACAAGGGCTGGATTTGCCCTAGTTGCTAGCCATACGGAGCACCTGTTCTCTTCGTCCAAAAGAAGAACAAAGATCTACGGTTATGCATCGACTATCGCAAACTTAACGCACAAACCGTAAAGAACGCCGGCCCTCTTCCTCGGATTGATGATCTCCTTGAGCGGTTAGGCGGCGCAACGTACTTCTTGAAGTTGGACTTGAAGTCAGGTTACCACCAGATCGAAATCCATCCTCAAGATCGGTACAAGACCGCGTTCAAGACGAGGTACGGGCATTTTGAGTGGGTTGTCATGCCTTTTGGCCTCACCAATGCCCCTGCAACTTTTCAAGCAGCTATGACGACTAAGTTTCGCGACTTGCTCGATCGCAGCGTTCTCATCTACCTCGATGACATCTTGGTCTATAGCAGGACGTTGGACGAGCACATCACACACCTTCGCGCTGTTTTGAATCGTTTGCGACTGGCCAAGTACAAAGCGAACCGCGACAAGTGCGAGTTCGCCAAGCAAGAGCTTGAGTATTTGGGTCACTACGTTACGCCGAAAGGCATTCGTCCCTTCGCGGACAAGATCCAAACCATCGTGGATTGGCCGGAACCCCGTTGTACGATGGACGTACACTCTTTCATGGGATTGGCTGGATATTACCAGCGATTCGTCGAGTCATACTCGAAAGTGGCAGCTCCTTTGCCGAGACTTCAGTCCCCGAAGGTGCCCTTCGAGTTCGACGATGCAGCTCGTGGCGCGTTCACTACGTTGAAGGCAGCGATGCAAGCCGCACCTGCCCTCCGCATATACGACCCCACCTTACCCACCCAAGTGATTACGGACGCTTCGGGATACGGCATTGGTGCGGTGTTGGAACAGTGTCACGAGGACGGTTGGCATCCGGTCGAGTATTTCTCCCAAAAGGTGTCTCTCGTAAACACTCTCGATGACGCTAGAAAGAAAGAGCTACTCGCGTTCGTCACCGTTCTCAAACGGTGGCACCACTTTCTTCTCGGTCGTCGGCGTTTTAAATGGAATACGGACAACAATCCGTTGACCTTTTACAAAACGCAGGATACGATCACTAGTACGATCGGTCGATGGATGTATTACATCGACCAATTCGACTTTAACTCGTGCCACATTCCCGGTCCCGCCAATCGAGCTGCGGACGCCCTCTCACGACGGCCCGACTTTTGTGCCATTGTGACCACGACATTCGACCTCGATGACGATCTGCAACCGCATTTCGTCAAAGGCTACAAGTCCGATCCGACTTACTTTACACTTTACGCGGAGCTTTCATCGGATCACCCGCCGGCTAGCCACTACGGGATTTCCAATGGGTTCCTTCTCCTTCACATGAGAGGAAATGACTTGTTAGTTGTGTCCCAAGATCGCATGTAACGGACTCGTCTTCTCGGCGAATTCCACGATGCACGACTTTCGGCACACCTTGGCGTGAACCGCACACTAGCACGCCTCCGCCAACGTTTTCACTGGCCCGATGTCCTTCATGACGTCACGAGGTACATTGCGTCATGTGCAGTTTGCCACCGTAACAAGGGTCGATCTCGAGTCCCCTGCGGCAAACTGAAACCGTTGCCGATCCCTCGTGCACCTCGCCTCTCCATTGCTATGGACGTGACAGGCCCGTTTCCCCGCGATCGCCATGACCATGACGGTATTCTCATGGTCGTTGACCGTTTGAGCAAGTATGCTCGCTTCCTTCCTTGCAAGTATCATGCTGCAGCACCCGAGCTTGCACGACTCTTGCACACCAGTTGGATTACCAACCAGGGTGTTCCGGAAGATATAGTGAGCGACCGAGATACTCGCTTCATGTCAACCTTTTGGACTTCCCTCATGGCTGAGTCCAGTACGACAATGAAGCCGAGCTCGGCTCGGCACCCGCAGACGGATGGCCAGACGGAGCGAGCGCACCAGACCGCTCAGATGATGTTGCGTACGCTCATCCGTCCCGACCAGAAAGATTGGGTTGACCGGCTTCCCGACATCGAGTTCGCCTATAACACTTCGGTGCACCCGGCGATCTGCGTCACATCATTCGAGCTACATCATGGTGGAGAGAAAGCACGGATCTTCGCTGATCTCCTTCTGCCACAGGCTGCCGACATAGACGTCCCTTGCTCTCCTGCTTCCGTTCGGAAGTACCGGGACTTGCTGATCAAAGCCCGCGCAAATATGCAAAAGGCTCAGATCCGCATGCAGCAACAGGCTAACCGACGTCGACTTCCATGTCCTTTCTGCGAGGGAGACCTTGTTTGGGTCCTCTCCGAGAAATTTGCGCTCGAGCAGGACGTTTCGCGCAAACTCCTTCCGAAATGGTTCGGACCATGGGAAGTCACTTCTGCCGTTGGAGACGACCCCGCAGGTCCTTCCTTCGTGATCAACATTCCACCGCACCTTACAGTGCATCGGGTCTTCCACGCATCGAAGCTGGCCATCTACAAGCCACCTTCAGTTGACGAGTTTCCCGGACGTCGATCACAGGATCCGCCTTCTATGGACGGACATCAGGAAGTGGACCGAGTCATCACGCACCGCAAGTATGGCAACAAGCCAATGCAATACAAAGTCACATTCAAGCAATGTGCGCCTGACGACACTCGGTGGATCTCTAGTGCAGACTTGCAGACTTCTGCACCCCTYATCTTCGCCAACTATGAGAAGACACGACTTGCCARGGCAGCAGCTCGTCCCACCCGACCCATCCCGGTATCGGACAGACAACTCCGCCCTCGCAGGTAGCTCGGTCTTTTAAGAGGGGGAGTGTGTTACATCTTCGACGCCACACGGGTCCTACCGGACCCGACATAGGGGTAGAGGGACAGAGTAAGGCCAAAGGCCCGACCTTGGGGGGGTACTACAGGCCGTAAAGGCCTCACCTTGGACCAGACCCGACGGGCAGGCCCAAACGACATTACCGTTTGGGCCTGGCGCCGCTCTTGAGGCATGTTGCCCGCCGGTTGGGGATGAACCGTCCATCTGGACGGTTCAGGGCACGGCCAGGCCTCGCAGCATTGAGGCCGGCCTCTGCCCCACCGGTATAAAGAACCGGTCCAGCCTCAGTCGAAGGGATCGACCTACCGGGATTCTACCGGTACGGTATGGTACAGCGCGATACAGCGCTGGTGCTAAGTTTAGCGCAGGGGCAGCGAGGAGCAGCAGCGCAGCATTAGCGCAGCAGCAGCGACCGAGCAGCAGCAGCGGCGACTGAGTGTGCCGGCGGCCATAGCCGCCTGAGGTATCGGGAGTTGGAGGCCTCTCTCCTCCCTCCCCTCGCCAGTCCCCCCTCTCTCTCTCTCTCCTCCTCGGCTCCTTCTTCTCTTCTTCTTCTTCTTCTTCTTCTTCTTCTTCTTCTTCTTCTTCTTCAGATTGGAGACTTATACTAGTTGGACAAAGATCAGTGTTGGATTTCGGTGGTATGAGACTGCGGTACTTACCAGACTGGAGACTTGGAGATTGTTGGGGTTGATACTTGGCGGCATCACAGTTCGGACACCGGTTACATTTGGACTCTGCATCTCCGACATTGGTGACTGATTGTCCTCGACATTTTGATCTTGTTGGATGACATTTTGGACTACCATATCGGTGACCTACCGGTGCTGTCTACCTCCCCCACCTCCTTCGTCTCTCCTCCCACCTTTCATCTGTGTATGAGTGTACGGGATCTGGCCATCGTCCATGCTTGGCCCAGACCCCACCATCTCACGATTGTATGTGTGTGGAGGGATTCTTGAGTCAGTCTATGTGAGTTAGTCTATGTGAGTCAGTTCGTTTATCAGACTTCCGCTGCATATATGCTCATCCTACATTGGTTGATCTTTGGTTCTGCTCATACTTATTGAAGTATGTAACATGCTCTTTATTTAGTTTTTGTGCGGCTGTAAGGATGGGGTCATCTTTCATTTTCCGAATTTGGTTCCTGGTCTGATCCCATGCTGCTCTCAGCCTCTCGGCAAGATACTGTGTCAAGTGCTCTTTTGCCTGAGGGGCAGTGAAGTTGTGCTGCTTTCTCTCGAAGGAGCAGCGCATCCTCCAGGCGAGCATCAAGAGTTCGATTCTCGTTATTTGAAATAGGTTGTAGTCGTAAGGGGACCAGTCTGTCCGGGGGGTAGACGAGCTTCCCAGGAGCAAGAGTCTCGGGTCCCATGGGAGTTGAGAGGCGGTAAGGACAGCCCAGGCCGCTTCCCACCATCTCCAGATCTGGGTCACCATAGGGCAACCCAGTAGACAATGCTCCAAGGTGGCCCTGGAAGGTTGGGAGAACCAGCCACAGTAACTGCAGATGGGTGAAAGGAGACCTTTCTGTTCCAGATCAGTCCGCGAGACGAGCCAGTCCGGGGTGGGTAGACAGCGGTACATTATCTGCCATTGGAGGGCCCGGTGGGATGTCGGCATTATGTGCGAATATTGGCCCATGTAAAGTCTGCAAGATCGTTCGGCGACAGGATGGAGTCTTTCCCCCACCTTTTCTGTATCGTCTTTCCTGTGGGCTGCGTCTTATGTATCGCCTTGTATCCCTGTTTAACTGAATAATCCGATGTTTTTAGCGGCGGGGCAGCACCACTCTGGGGCCATTGCCATTCCGCCGGGTCAAAGGGAAGAGCTGAAATAGGGGAAGAGGGTCGAAACATGAAACAGGATTGGTCGGTCCCTTCTATCACCCGCACTCTGATCAGGCTCGTCCAGTTGTGGACAGTGTCCCATTCCCGGTTTCTTTGGAGTGCGGAATATGTCGGCCCCAGGGAGGCTATATCGTATGCTTGCAACTGGGTTGTGAGAGCAGTCACCTCTGTCACCTTATAAACCAGGCGCAGAGGGCTATTTTCGGCCCAGTGAACAACCCAGTCACCTTTTCCAATCAAGGACCCTTTTTTCAGGGGGGGGACCCATGCAAGAGGGATCGCTTCTCGGAGCTGTTCCAGCTTTTGCTCCCTGTGTCTGACATATCATAGTTGGTCTTTCATTTGATCAACTGTCTTCCAGGTTCCCTGTTTGAAGTCCCAAATATCTCCCACGGTGAAAATCCCCTTGGTGACCCACTGTGTCCACTGCGAGCGTTTGGACAGGTCGAACGGCTTCCCTTGATCGTCGCAGATGAAGGGGTTGCCAAACAACTGTTGTCTCACTATCTCGTGCCAACCCAGGGGGGGGGGGATACGTTGAGGGCCCATCTCTCTCCACAATTTCGCCATATTGGACCACAGTGGGTCGTTAGTTATATCCGTTCTTATTTGGGCTTGCTCAAGGGGTAGGGTTGTTGACACATTGGACCCAGGGATCAACCATGCCGGGTTAGTTAACCATTGCAACGGGTGGACTTTCCTTTCCACAGGGGAGGCCGGAGCAAGGCCGACAATCTGGATGTGAGCGTAAGGGGCCCATAGGACATCGTTCCCCATCAATAGGCGAACGAGGATTTTGAAGGATAACGCTTTTAGTTGATCTTGTGGTTTTTAGATCGCCAGACCACCCTTCGAGCGCGGTTGGGCTATAGTGTCCCATGCCACTATGGACAGAAATGTAGGGTCCTCGTGATCATTTTTCCACAGAAAGGCTGCTGCTGCCCTCCTGAGCCTCCGAACCTGTTCGGGTGGGATAGACCAGCATGCCGCTTTATACCACATAGCGGAGAAGATTGAGGTGTTGAGGGCCAGGGCCCTACCCAGTATTGAGGTGTGCAGGCCTTTCCATCTAGCCATTCTCCTAAGGGCCTCTTCCACTAGGGAAGCCCCATGATCAGGTGGGGGGCCCAGAGCCGTAAATCGGACTCCCAGTATCCGTATGGCCTCCTGCCTTGGTTTCCATGCTATTGCCGGATCCGAGGGGGAAAGAAGATTTTGGGGGTGGAGCCACCACCCCTCCGTTTTGGAGCCCCAATTCACCACCATGTCTGATGCCTTTGAAAATGTTTGTATAGTGGATACGAGAGCCTGCAACGAGGAATGGTCAGCCTTGAGCAATACTGTAAGGTCATCAACAAAGAGCGATGTGATGGGGATGCGAGCGTATGGGATTTCAGGCACATCGATCTTTTTTATATTCGGGTTGGCTCTGATGGCCGCGGTCAAGGCCTCCATCACAATAACAAACAACAGCGGGGCGATGGGGTCGCCTTGTCTGACCGAACGTTGGAGCGGGAACGGGTTGGACAGATGACCGTTCACCATGATATTCGTTGAGGCCGTTCTGTGAAGGGTGCCCACCCATTTCCTAAAATTCGGACCGAAGTTCATCTTTTGCATGCACATATCCAAAAAGACCCAATCCACATGGTTGTAGGCTTTTTCAAAGTCAATAAAGATGACCGCTGCCTCTTTCTTTCTCTGCCTGGCGTACTTGATCATCTCATTCACGAGAAGGATATTATCTTGTATAATCCTTTCAGGTATAAATCCGGATTGGTCAGGGTGAATGAGGTGTGTCATGTGGGGGAGCATGCGGTTGGTCAGTGCCTTTGCCACCATCTTGTAGGGGACCGGCAAGAGGGTTATGGGTTTGTAGTTTCTAACCTCATTCTTTGCGCCCTTCTTATAGAGGAGGGTAGTTACCCCTTGGTTTAGGAGGCCCCCAAACGTGCCGTCAGATTGGACTGCGTCTATATATTCCAGAAGGTTCGTTTGGAATGTGTCCCAAAATGCAAGCCATAATTCTTTAGGGAACGAGTCCAAACCCGGTGTTTTGTCGTCGTCCATTTGGTGGAGGGCAATATAGATCTCATCTCGGCTCAGTGGCCGTTCAAGTGTAGCCCGATGTTCCGGCGAGAGGACCGAATCGAGGTTGTGGACAAGTTGTTGTCTTGCGCTGATGACACTGTCTGGCGGTTGCAGAGGAATCTTGGGGGTGAAAAGCTCTTGGTAGTATTTTGCAGCATAATCTGTCACTAAGTATGGGTTAGCGGCTTCCGGATTGTCGTCACACAGCGGGTGTTTAAGTGAGACCACGGCGGCTTGTCTCGCTCTGACCTTGGCTTTTTGGAAAAGCATTTTGGCCATGGTCCCTTCCGTGTGTGTACGCTTGATTTTGGCTTGGATTCTCCATCCCTCCGCTTGGGCTTCAAGATGTTCTTGTAGGCGGTCCCGCGCTTGCTGCAAATTACTATAAACAGTGTCATCCAAAGGGGCGGTGGAGAGCTTGTCGTCCCATTTTTCTAAGGTACTAAGAAGGTCTTCCATGACCGCTTTCCGTTCTCTCGCCCGTTTTATTGAATTTTTTTTCACTATTTCTCTTAGTTGAGCCACTCCATAGTTAAACCATTCTACCACTGATGTCTTCATGTTTTTTGGACTGCCAGTATGCCCAATGCTCTTTCACACACTGTTGGAAAGTGTGCAGTTTGATCAGTGAGGTGTTGAGTTTGAAGAAGCTGGGCCCTCTGTCAAACGGGGGGCGCAAGACGAGGGCAATGGCAGTCATCTTATGATCAAAAGACCGTGAGGGGCTGAAGGGCAGTATAACAGCTTCCATCAGTGGACCCGCCAAATCTTTAGATAGGAGTATAAGATCGTTCTCGTGCGGCAGAAAGCTCAAAATGTTTCTCAGTCCCCTGGGTGGTAGTGGTGTCTGCTCTTATGTTGGGGGCTTCTTGCCGCAAAACAACAACAACAACAACAACAACAACAACAACAACAACAACTATTACCGCGGGTAAAGACCATCCCGCCGTGCAGAAAATGCAGAGTCCAACTGGTAGGTTCAGAAAAGTCCATTCCGTTCCTATGGAGCGGTGGATACATAGATAAATGAATAAGCAAGTATATAAATATATCAACGAATTGCAAACGAAGTACCGGCAGTTCCACGGTTCTCTTTGAGGC